TCGGACGCTCTTCGTGCTGCCAGTCCTACTGTCACGCGTCTCCTGGCTACTGCTGTCACTGACCCCTCCTTCGAGTCGTCTGCTGCGTCTGCCCTTGTCACTGAGCTTGTCGACTTTGCTGCGCGCTGTCGTCTAGACTACGCTGCTCGTCTTGTCACTGAGTCTGAGTCCGCCTGTCCTCCGTCCGTCGGGGGTGAGTGTGCCCTTGGCACGGACGTCCTTGAGGACAGGCAGGAGGAGTTCCAGTCTCTGGCCGCCGCTTCACCTCGTCTCGCGTCTGTACTGCTAGCCCCTGAGGGAGACCCGGATGCACCAGACATCCCGACTCCGCGCTCTTACGCGGAGGCGATAGAGGGTCCCTACTCCTCTCAGTGGCAGGCAGCTATGGATGCAGAGATGGCTTCCTGGAAGTCCACAGGCACCTACGTTGACGCTGTTCCCCCTCCTGGGGCGAACATCGTCAGTGGCATGTGGATTTTCAGGGTGAAGCGGCCGCCGGGTTCTCCGCCTGTCTTCAAGGCGCGTTACGTGGCTCGTGGCTTCAGTCAGCGGCAGGGGGTTGACTACTTTCAGACCTTCTCCCCCACCCCGAAGATGACCACTCTTCGGGTTCTGCTACACGTTGCTGCTCACCGTGACTACGAGCTGCACTCTCTCGACTTCAGCACAGCTTTCCTGCAGGGCAGCCTGCACGAGGAGATCTGGCTGCGTCGCCCACCTGGCTTCACTGGGTCTTTCCCTCCTGGTACCCAGTGGAGTCTCCGGCGTCCAGTCTACGGTCTCCGCCAGGCGCCACGTGAGTGGCACGATACACGGAGGACTACGCTCGCGGCACTTGGGTTTGCTCCTTCCACTGCCGACCCGTCGCTGTTTCTGCGCACCGACACCTCTCTGCCGCCGTTCTACATCCTCGTGTACGTCGACGACTTGGTCTTTGCCACAGCTGACACTGCTGGACTCGCCTACGTGAAGTCGGAGCTGCAGAAGAGACACACGTGCACTGACCTGGGTGAACTGCGCAGCTACCTTGGCCTGCAGATCACCCGGGACAGAGCACGCCGCACCATTACCCTGACTCAGTCACACATGGTGCAGCAGGTCCTTCAGCGCTTCGGCTTCACGTACTCCTCGCCTCAGGCCACTCCTCTGCCTACTCGCCACTCGCTCTCAGCTCTGCCTTCGGATGAGTCCGTAGAGTCGAGTGGCCCGTTTGCAGAGCTTGTTGGCTGCCTCATGTACCTGATGACCTGCACACGACCTGACCTCGCATACCCTCTTAGCATTCTCGCACGCTTTGTTGCTCCTGGGAGACACCGACCAGAGCACATGGCTGCAGCGAAGAGGGTGTTGCGCTACTTGTGCAGTACGTCGGGCACGGGGCTAGTGCTTGGAGGGCGCAGTCCAGTGGTCCTCACTGGGCACGCAGACGCTTCTTGGGCTGACGACCAGGCTACGCAGCGGTCGTCACAGGGTTACACCTTCAGCCTTGGTTCCGGCTCTGTCTCGTGGCGGGCTACCCGCTCGTCCTCTGTTCTCGGCTCCAGTTGTGAGGCTGAGATCTACGCTGGGGCTATGGCTGCACAGGAGTTACGCTGGCTCACCTACCTGCTGACCGACCTTGGAGAGCAGCCTCGTTCTCCTCCAGTCCTGTACGTAGACAACAAGGCCATGCTGGCCTTGTGTCGAGAGCAGCGACTGGAGCACAGAACGAAGCACATTGCTCTTCGCTACTTTCTTGCTCGTGAGCTACAGCAGCGTGGACAGCTGCGACTTGCGTACGTGGCCTCTGAGGCCAACACTGCTGATGTCTTCACCAAGGCACTTGCGCCTTGTGATCATCAGCGTTGCTGCACGCAGTTGGGTCTTGTGCCTGTCTTGCCTCACTTGCTCTCCTCTTGACCTTGCTTGTACTTTCGCATATATATACTCTTGCTCTTGTATATCTCTATATATGATCTTGCATGTGAACTGGCCTTGTGGCCTTTGAACTTGTGCTCGGAATGCGTGGTGACTTTGTGATCCACCCTGAGCTTTGCTTTGCTTTGCTTGACTGGTCTTGTGACCCCTTGTTCTCCCCCACTTTGCCTATGGGGGTGTGTCAGAACTTATAGCTCACTTGTTTCTGTAGGCTATAGTGGGGTATCCCATAGGGGGTACAACCCAATTAGGGTTTCCTATTTGTACTCACTTCGTTCATAGTCATTCCATTCTCGTTCTTTGTTTTCACACAGGCTTCTTTGTGTCCGTTTTATTTCGTGCGCATGCATCGCATCGCGCCACGAATTGTTGGACCTCAGTGCCCAATCCCGGCCACCAGTACACATCACTCAAGGCCCACCTCGTCTTCTTGACCCCTAGGTGTCCTCCGTACTTAGCGGCATGTATTTCTTCCAGAATATCATTCCGCAGGTTACCCACGTGAGGTACAACAATCTCATTCTTACGCCACCAGAGCTCGTGCTCCCACATGAGTTCCTTCGTGTTTCGTGGGTTCTGAAACCAGGGGTCAATCTGATACCCTGTGCGGATGCGTTTCAGAAAACCAGTGAAGGTAATCTCACTCACTCGAGCCGTTGCTAGGACACTGAAGCAAGCAGAAAATACTGCCGCATCTTCTGTGTCGTCTAGCCATGTTGCTGCCCCTATCGGCTGTCTGCTGAGGGGGTCAGCCAGGTTCGTCGAACCTGCTCGATATCGAATATCGAAGGTGAACCCACTAAGGAGTTCCGCCCATCGGGCTTGACGTCGAGTAAGCGTGGCTTGGGTGGCGAAATAGGTGTTTGGACAGTGATCAGTTGTAACCACAAAGTCCACACCCTCCAGATAACATCGCCATGTGCGTAGCGCATGAACGACCGCCAACAGTTCTTGTTCGGACGTCGTATAGCGCTGCTCTGCCGGGGAGAGCTTTCGACTCTCAAATGCCACTGGTCTCCCTTCTTGCAAGAGGACCGCCCCAATCCCAATCAATGAGGCGTCAGTAACAACCTCATAGGGTTTTGTCGGATCTGGTAAAACCAGTACCGGAGCATTGGTCAGCATTCGCTTGACCTCGTCGAATGCCTTTTGGCATTGTTGTGTCCATTGCCAAGCACTACTCTTGCGAGTGAGGGCCGTCAATGGAGCAACAACGGTAGAATAATTCTGCAAAAATCGACGAAAATAGTTCGCCAGTCCTAAAAACGACCTGATTTGACCCACATCTTGTGGCACCGGCCAGTTTTGGACTGCGACAACTTTCTTTGGGTCTACTTTGAGACCATCATTTCCCACGAGATGGCCAAGATATTCCAACTCGCGTTTGTAGAAATGACATTTCCATAGGCGAGCATAGAACTTATGCTCTCGGAGTTTCCCTAACACCCATTTAAGGTGTCGCGTGTGCTCCTCTTCTGTCTTGGAATAAACCAAGATGTCATCCAGATAGACTAGAACGAACTGTCCAATCGCCTCGCGAAAGACATCATTCATAGCTCTTTGAAAAGATGCAGGAGCATTGGTCAAGCCAAAGCTCAGCACTCGCCACTGAAAATGACCAAACGGCGATCGGAAAGCCGTCTTGGGTACATCTTCTTCAGTGATGCGCAATTGGTGATACCCTTGTGCGAGGTCCAATGCGCTGAACCACTGGGCACCCTGGAGTTTGTCGAACAGGTCCTCTATTCTCGGTAGGGGATACCTGTTCTTCACCGTTATCTTGTTCAGAGCACGGTAGTCTACGCACATGCGTAAACCTCCGCCCTTTTTGTTCACGAACAAGATCGGCGCTCCGTAAGGTGATGCGCTTGGTTCAATCCATCCCTTCCTGAGGTACTCCTCAATTTGTTGTTTAGCCTCCTCGTACTCAGCTGGACTGAGGCGATACAGAGGTCTAAACGGTGGGAGCTTTCCAGGCTCCACTGGGATGGTGTGACCGACAGCACGGTCTGGAGGAAGGCCATCTGGGATGGGCTTAAAAACCTCTGCAAACTCGTCCGCCAGTGCTCTCATCTGAGGCGGGAAATCCTCGACCCCAGGCATCTCGTGTTCAGCATTCTCAAGCTGTACCACAAAGAAGGTATCGGCTTGTCGAACATGCTGTCCGAACTCGTTTGCGAGCGCAAAACTCACATCGGGACGCTCCGACGTTTGTTGTTCGTTTGTGATCAAGTCGTTAGGCACTTGCCATTGGACTGTGTCACCATTTTTTGAGAATGAGACAGTATTGTCCTGGAAATCGAGCTTGACTTCATTCGCTCGAAGCCAATCCATTCCAAGGACAAGGTCGACGCCTGCGAGAAGGGGTAAAACATACGCGCAAATTTCTTCGTGATAACCCTCAATATCCATGTTGATCCGTGTCTGCCCTTTGCTTGGGATAATGCTATCATCACCAAGGCGAATGGGGCAAGACGGTCCTTCAACGAGGATCATGCGTGCTGTGGCCCACTTTTCGTTAAAGAGGGAAACAGTTGCACCCGTGTCAACAAGGATTTTTGCGTTTTCCCCGTTCACGCTACCCGCAAGCAACAAATTTTGTTGATGCTTTGGGCGAATAGGACATGCCACAATACTCGTCAAGGGTTTGAAGTACACCTTGACGTTGTGACGAGCGCGTCCATGTGACTGAGAGTTGGTCCACCACACATGGTGTCCCTTGTCCCACGCCGCTAGGACCGGCCATCCACGAAGCGCATGGAACAATTCGCCTTTCACTGTGCGAGTCACCAACGCGATCGAAGTCAGGGGGTGCTCTTGAGTGCAACGACTCACAATCTCAATGACCGAAGGCAGAATGTCCAAGCCACAGAAAATGATTGAGAACTTATCTTGCATTGCTGCCATGGTGATGTTCTCAAGTGGGTACGATCGAGAGTAAAAAACAGAGTTTTTATTAAAAGAAGAGGCAAACAAACAAGAGATTTTGCAATCAGCAAGCTTCTCTAGCTTTAATAGATCATCATCACATAGCACATATGCCTCATCCACTCGATCTACTCCTCCAACTAGGTACCCACACCCTAGTTGGGCTTCTGAAAATCCTTCTTTCCAGAAGGTCCCGCGCCGCCTGGCTTCGGCTTCCCAGAGTACTTGATTGGGTTCTTGTTACGGCACTGCTTTTGGATGTGTCCAATAAATCCACAGCCGCGACACCGCATCTTGGAGAAGTCCGGCTTGTTAGGGCCATGACCTCCCCCCCCGTTAGCCCTCTTGGCCTGCGGTCCAGGCTGGTGCTCACGCTGCTGGAAAGGTCGCTTATTCGAACTGCCTCCGCCATTGGCGTTCTGGGGCCAGTTCCCACGACCACCGGAGCCCTCAGCACGGGGCTGCTGGTCCGCCTTTGCAGGACCATGGATATATGTGCGAATGACAGTGTCAGTTTTGATCACCTGCTCCTTCAGCTCCTTGTAAGTCGTCCAATTGGTCATGTCGCCGATCATGTGTGCCTCTTGCAGGTTGATAGGGAGGCCTTTCATAAAGAGGTGCATCATCTCCTCCTCAGACAAGGGCTTCTGGAGCGAGCGTGCTGCGGCCTCCAACTCGACCGCATATTCCTGCACCGGACGGTCATGACACTTGATATGCTCAAGGCGTCCGCGCAGTTCCAGGTCGGACTTCTTGACCATGAATGCCTCTTTCAGCGCGGTGCAAAACTCCGGCCACCCAAATGGTCCATGCGCCTGCTTCTTAGCGCCATACACTGCCCTGCGGGCCACCTCGTCCAATGCACGAGTGGCTGCAGTGACGCGAGCCTCAGGACGCACATTCGCAAGGATCATGGTTTCATTCACCAGATCAAGCCAAGGCTGCACCTCCGTCTTGCGATGGTTAAACTCAGGCAGAGGCGCCGAGAGAGACCCAAAGGGCGAGGTCTCAGTTGGAGGTGGCTGATGCATAGCCGTCGCAGCGCCTACCGCTGGGGGTGCGGGTGGAGCGGGTGCCGACTGAGCAGCAGGAGCGGGCCTGCGCCCAGGAGGAGGTTCGTAGATACCCTCCCTCCTAAGTTTGGTCACCTGCTCATTGAGCTTGTTGAATGATACTTGCAGATTATTGCAAGTCTTCTGAAGCCACTCAATTTCACGGTTCTTAGTGCCCAGGCTGCGACGGAACTCAGTAACCTCCTTCATGGTAATGCTCAGTCGAGCCTCGAGGTTCTGAGTGTGTTTCTTGAGTCCATCAATGGACGTCTGCTACTGCAGGATGGTGATATTCTGAGTTGCCACCTTAGCCTGGAGTTGGACAATCTCCTCGGAGATAGGATAAGTCGTGCCTTCACCCTCAGTGAAGTCATTTTCATCACCAGTGGCCTCCTTCCCACAGGTGTTATCCTCTTCCCCAAGGTTATCAGGGGCACCATGGTTCTCAGCTTCACCATGGTGCTCAGCTTCACCATGGTGCTCAGCTTCATCATGGTTCTCAGCTTCAAGGTCCAGGTCCAAGTCCTCAATATCATCCAATTCAATGTCAGCCATTGCCTCATCTTGATTGAGGTCAATCTCAGCAGCATTGCTCACCACCTCATTAGGTGCAGTGGGCCCTTCCTCCCTTGCCATATCCTTCTCTTGGCCAGATGCCATAAGGATTAAGGGAGCTTGTAAGATCTGGGTTGATTCTGTTAAAGTCTTTTTACCACCTCAATGGTAAAGCAAGAAATTCTTATAAAAGAAATTTCTTCTACAGAATAATCCAAGTTACCCAAGGTAACAGATTTGTTGTCAAGCACTCCCAATCACCTAAGTGAAAGGGCAGGGTCTATCCAAATCTCAATGAAGAGAACTTGTATAACCCTCAACAAATCCTCCAGATCTAAGTTTATACTCCACTACTCAACAGTAGAGAGTCTTCAACCAAAAGGTGGGCAAGAGAGATAAAAATCTCTCTTCTTAGCTTGAAATTGCAGTTGTAGATCTTGTAGATCTTGAACTCTTCAAGCTTCCAGATCTTGAGTATTCTCTTTAAAGAGAAATCACAACTCTAAGATCTATAAAAAAAAATCTCTAGGGGCAAAATCCCCACTAGGCTTAGGATAACCCTAGCTCTAGATACCAATGTAACAACCACGGCCCTTATAACAACGGGCAACCGTGTGTTAAATATAAAATCCTCCTTGACAACTTATATAAAATCAAGATACAAGGCTTGAAAGAATCTAGCTAATCCCACCAAGGGATAACCAAGCCTTAAGCTAAGCTTGAAAGATCTTGAGGAGAGAAGTTGTAGTTGCTGATGAAGCCTTAGCAAATAGAGAGCTTCTTGTAGAACTTGTTCTTAGGAAATCACAATCCTAATTGTGTAGGTCAGCTTGTTAGGAGAATCCAAGAACTTAGAGAAATCCCATTTCCAAGTTAGATTGTTGGAGTTGGGAAGTGGGAATGGGCCTTGGAAGCTCCAACCCCTTCCACAATACCCCTTGGGGCTCTTCCCAACCATGGCTTCCATGGTTGGGGAGCTAGGAGGCTTGGAGCCTAGGTGGCACATTTGTTTGGTTGGGAAAACCCAACTTAATTGTGTTGTATGGTTGTTTTGTGTTTGGTTGGATTGTAACCACAACTGGCACAATTTGATTGGTTGGGAATCCAACCTTTCCAATCTTCACTTTGATGGGTTGGAAGTTTCCAAGCCTCAAGGTTGAGGTTTGGAACAACCCAAACCAACCTTCCCCTCCAACTCAACCTCTCCGTTTCCCATCGCGTCATTTCCCATCGAGCATTCTCTCGATGTTGACTTAGGAAACTAGAGGTAGCTAGGCAGGGTAGGTCATGCGTTACACTCCTCCCCCCCTAGGTGGCAACGTCCCCGTTGCCTTAGGGTGCTTCTGAGGACGAGCGCTTCGAGCACGCCGTGTTACATTACGACCAGGGTCAACACCCTCCATTGGCTGTGCGGCGGCTCGTCGAGCCATGTCTGTCATGTATGACTGAACTGCAGTCAAATGCTCTTCTGGCTCCCATGAGTTGTGTTCAGGCCCGTAGCCTTTCCACTTGATGAGGAACTCTCGTACTGTTTTGCGGCCGCGCTGTCGATCACGATGCATCAGCACTCGTTCGACTTCATAAAACAGTTCCTCCCCCAGGACGATTGTTGGTGGCGGTAAGTACTTGCCTTCTGCAACGTACTTGTTCAACAGAGACACATGGAAGACGTTGTGAATCTGTAAAGTGTCAGGTAGCTTAAGCTTGTAAGCTACCACACCAACGCGCCTGATCACCTCGAAGGGCCCAATCCATCGAGGGAACAGCTTTCGTGCTCCAGGGATTTTGAGACGAATGTTCTTCGTGCTCAACAAAACTTTGTCTCCAACCTCAAACGAGACTTCCCGGCGTTTCATGTCGGCGTAAGACTTTTGTCGCTGCTGAGAGAGTTGTAGCCAATGGCGAGCAGACTTAAGCGCTTCTTGCTGCTTGCCAACAAAGTCTTTAGCGGCTGGAATTTTCAATCCTCCGATCCCATGCGTAGCAGGCGTTGTGGGATGCCGACCATAGTTCAGAATGAAAGGTTTCTCACGTGTACCTTCATGAACTGAATTGTTCACTGCGAATTCAACGACAGGCAACAACTCGTCCCAATCATCCTGAGTTGGACCAATAAATGAACGAAGCATCTGCTCAAGTGTCCGGTTTGTTCGTTCCGTCTGCCCATCGGTTTGTGGGTGGAACGCCGATGACAACTTAAGCTTCGTTCCTAGTGTCCGTGTGACTTCTTGCCAGAACCGGCTTGTGAAGCGCGGATCCCGGTCGGACACCAATACACGTGGTAACCCGTGTAAGCGGAAAACGTGCGCCACAAACAATTTGGCCGTATCTTCCGCAGATACGTCAGTTGTCGTAGCCACGAAATGCACCATTTTTGTCAGACGATCCACAAACACTAGGATCGCTGTATGGCCATCGCGAGACTTGGGAAGATCCGTGATAAAATCCAAGGATACGCTCTCCCAAGGTTCATTCGGGATCTCGAGTGGTTGAAGCAAACCACCAGGCTTCTTTGTGTCCGTTTTATTTCGTGCGCATGCATCGCATCGCGCCACGAATTGTTGGACCTCAGTGCCCAATCCCGGCCACCAGTACACATCACTCAAGGCCCACCTCGTCTTCTTGACCCCTAGGTGTCCTCCGTACTTAGCGGCATGTATTTCTTCCAGAATATCATTCCGCAGGTTACCCACGTGAGGTACAACAATCTCATTCTTACGCCACCAGAGCTCGTGCTCCCACATGAGTTCCTTCGTGTTTCGTGGGTTCTGAAACCAGGGGTCAATCTGATACCCTGTGCGGATGCGTTTCAGAAAACCAGTGAAGGTAATCTCACTCACTCGAGCCGTTGCTAGGACACTGAAGCAAGCAGAAAATACTGCCGCATCTTCTGTGTCGTCTAGCCATGTTGCTGCCCCTATCGGCTGTCTGCTGAGGGGGTCAGCCAGGTTCGTCGAACCTGCTCGATATCGAATATCGAAGGTGAACCCACTAAGGAGTTCCGCCCATCGGGCTTGACGTCGAGTAAGCGTGGCTTGGGTGGCGAAATAGGTGTTTGGACAGTGATCAGTTGTAACCACAAAGTCCACACCCTCCAGATAACATCGCCATGTGCGTAGCGCATGAACGACCGCCAACAGTTCTTGTTCGGACGTCGTATAGCGCTGCTCTGCCGGGGAGAGCTTTCGACTCTCAAATGCCACTGGTCTCCCTTCTTGCAAGAGGACCGCCCCAATCCCAATCAATGAGGCGTCAGTAACAACCTCATAGGGTTTTGTCGGATCTGGTAAAACCAGTACCGGAGCATTGGTCAGCATTCGCTTGACCTCGTCGAATGCCTTTTGGCATTGTTGTGTCCATTGCCAAGCACTACTCTTGCGAGTGAGGGCCGTCAATGGAGCAACAACGGTAGAATAATTCTGCAAAAATCGACGAAAATAGTTCGCCAGTCCTAAAAACGACCTGATTTGACCCACATCTTGTGGCACCGGCCAGTTTTGGACTGCGACAACTTTCTTTGGGTCTACTTTGAGACCATCATTTCCCACGAGATGGCCAAGATATTCCAACTCGCGTTTGTAGAAATGACATTTCCATAGGCGAGCATAGAACTTATGCTCTCGGAGTTTCCCTAACACCCATTTAAGGTGTCGCGTGTGCTCCTCTTCTGTCTTGGAATAAACCAAGATGTCATCCAGATAGACTAGAACGAACTGTCCAATCGCCTCGCGAAAGACATCATTCATAGCTCTTTGAAAAGATGCAGGAGCATTGGTCAAGCCAAAGCTCAGCACTCGCCACTGAAAATGACCAAACGGCGATCGGAAAGCCGTCTTGGGTACATCTTCTTCAGTGATGCGCAATTGGTGATACCCTTGTGCGAGGTCCAATGCGCTGAACCACTGGGCACCCTGGAGTTTGTCGAACAGGTCCTCTATTCTCGGTAGGGGATACCTGTTCTTCACCGTTATCTTGTTCAGAGCACGGTAGTCTACGCACATGCGTAAACCTCCGCCCTTTTTGTTCACGAACAAGATCGGCGCTCCGTAAGGTGATGCGCTTGGTTCAATCCATCCCTTCCTGAGGTACTCCTCAATTTGTTGTTTAGCCTCCTCGTACTCAGCTGGACTGAGGCGATACAGAGGTCTAAACGGTGGGAGCTTTCCAGGCTCCACTGGGATGGTGTGACCGACAGCACGGTCTGGAGGAAGGCCATCTGGGATGGGCTTAAAAACCTCTGCAAACTCGTCCGCCAGTGCTCTCATCTGAGGCGGGAAATCCTCGACCCCAGGCATCTCGTGTTCAGCATTCTCAAGCTGTACCACAAAGAAGGTATCGGCTTGTCGAACATGCTGTCCGAACTCGTTTGCGAGCGCAAAACTCACATCGGGACGCTCCGACGTTTGTTGTTCGTTTGTGATCAAGTCGTTAGGCACTTGCCATTGGACTGTGTCACCATTTTTTGAGAATGAGACAGTATTGTCCTGGAAATCGAGCTTGACTTCATTCGCTCGAAGCCAATCCATTCCAAGGACAAGGTCGACGCCTGCGAGAAGGGGTAAAACATACGCGCAAATTTCTTCGTGATAACCCTCAATATCCATGTTGATCCGTGTCTGCCCTTTGCTTGGGATAATGCTATCATCACCAAGGCGAATGGGGCAAGACGGTCCTTCAACGAGGATCATGCGTGCTGTGGCCCACTTTTCGTTAAAGAGGGAAACAGTTGCACCCGTGTCAACAAGGATTTTTGCGTTTTCCCCGTTCACGCTACCCGCAAGCAACAAATTTTGTTGATGCTTTGGGCGAATAGGACATGCCACAATACTCGTCGAGGGTTTGAAGTACACCTTGACGTTGTGACGAGCGCGTCCATGTGACTGAGAGTTGGTCCACCACACATGGTGTCCCTTGTCCCACGCCGCTAGGACCGGCCATCCACGAAGCGCATGGAACAATTCGCCTTTCACTGTGCGAGTCACCAACGCGATCGAAGTCAGGGGGTGCTCTTGAGTGCAACGACTCACAATCTCAATGACCGAAGGCAGAATGTCCAAGCCACAGAAAATGATTGAGAACTTATCTTGCATTGCTGCCATGGTGATGTTCTCAAGTGGGTACGATCGAGAGTAAAAAACAGAGTTTTTATTAAAAGAAGAGGCAAACAAACAAGAGATTTTGCAATCAGCAAGCTTCTCTAGCTTTAATAGATCATCATCACATAGCACATATGCCTCATCCACTCGATCTACTCCTCCAACTAGGTACCCACACCCTAGTTGGGCTTCTGAAAATCCTTCTTTCCAGAAGGTCCCGCGCCGCCTGGCTTCGGCTTCCCAGAGTACTTGATTGGGTTCTTGTTACGGCACTGCTTTTGGATGTGTCCAATAAATCCACAGCCGCGACACCGCATCTTGGAGAAGTCCGGCTTGTTAGGGCCATGACCTCCCCCCCCCGTTAGCCCTCTTGGCCTGCGGTCCAGGCTGGTGCTCACGCTGCTGGAAAGGTCGCTTATTCGAACTGCCTCCGCCATTGGCGTTCTGGGGCCAGTTCCCACGACCACCGGAGCCCTCAGCACGGGGCTGCTGGTCCGCCTTTGCAGGACCATGGATATATGTGCGAATGACAGTGTCAGTTTTGATCACCTGCTCCTTCAGCTCCTTGTAAGTCGTCCAATTGGTCATGTCGCCGATCATGTGTGCCTCTTGCAGGTTGATAGGGAGGCCTTTCATAAAGAGGTGCATCATCTCCTCCTCAGACAAGGGCTTCTGGAGCGAGCGTGCTGCGGCCTCCAACTCGACCGCATATTCCTGCACCGGACGGTCATGACACTTGATATGCTCAAGGCGTCCGCGCAGTTCCAGGTCGGACTTCTTGACCATGAATGCCTCTTTCAGCGCGGTGCAAAACTCCGGCCACCCAAATGGTCCATGCGCCTGCTTCTTAGCGCCATACACTGCCCTGCGGGCCACCTCGTCCAATGCACGAGTGGCTGCAGTGACGCGAGCCTCAGGACGCACATTCGCAAGGATCATGGTTTCATTCACCAGATCAAGCCAAGGCTGCACCTCCGTCTTGCGATGGTTAAACTCAGGCAGAGGCGCCGAGAGAGACCCAAAGGGCGAGGTCTCAGTTGGAGGTGGCTGATGCATAGCCGTCGCAGCGCCTACCGCTGGGGGTGCGGGTGGAGCGGGTGCCGACTGAGCAGCAGGAGCGGGCCTGCGCCCAGGAGGAGGTTCGTAGATACCCTCCCTCCTAAGTTTGGTCACCTGCTCATTGAGCTTGTTGAATGATACTTGCAGATTATTGCAAGTCTTCTGAAGCCACTCAATTTCACGGTTCTTAGTGCCCAGGCTGCGACGGAACTCAGTAACCTCCTTCATGGTAATGCTCAGTCGAGCCTCGAGGTTCTGAGTGTGTTTCTTGAGTCCATCAATGGACGTCTGCTGCTGCAGGATGGTGATATTCTGAGTTGCCACCTTAGCCTGGAGTTGGACAATCTCCTCGGAGATAGGATAAGTCGTGCCTTCACCCTCAGTGAAGTCATTTTCATCACCAGTGGCCTCCTTCCCACAGGTGTTATCCTCTTCCCCAAGGTTATCAGGGGCACCATGGTTCTCAGCTTCACCATGGTGCTCAGCTTCACCATGGTGCTCAGCTTCATCATGGTTCTCAGCTTCAAGGTCCAGGTCCAAGTCCTCAATATCATCCAATTCAATGTCAGCCATTGCCTCATCTTGATTGAGGTCAATCTCAGCAGCATTGCTCACCACCTCATTAGGTGCAGTGGGCCCTTCCTCCCTTGCCATATCCTTCTCTTGGCCAGATGCCATAAGGATTAAGGGAGCTTGTAAGATCTGGGTTGATTCTGTTAAAGTCTTTTTACCACCTCAATGGTAAAGCAAGAAATTCTTATAAAAGAAATTTCTTCTACAGAATAATCCAAGTTACCCAAGGTAACAGATTTGTTGTCAAGCACTCCCTATCACCTAAGTGAAAGGGCAGGGTCTATCCAAATCTCAATGAAGAGAACTTGTATAACCCTCAACAAATCCTCCAGATCTAAGTTTATACTCCACTACTCAACAGTAGAGAGTCTTCCACCAAAAGGTGGGCAAGAGAGATAAAAATCTCTCTTCTTAGCTTGAAATTGCAGTTGTAGATCTTGTAGATCTTGAACTCTTCAAGCTTCCAGATCTTGAGTATTCTCTTTAAAGAGAAATCACAACTCTAAGATCTATAAAAAAAAAATCTCTAGGGGCAAAATCCCCACTAGGCTTAGGATAACCCTAGCTCTAGATACCAATGTAACAACCACGGCCCTTATAACAACGGGCAACCGTGTGTTAAATATAAAATCCTCCTTGACAACTTATATAAAATCAAGATACAAGGCTTGAAAGAATCTAGCTAATCCCACCAAGGGATAACCAAGCCTTAAGCTAAGCTTGAAAGATCTTGAGGAGAGAAGTTGTAGTTGCTGATGAAGCCTTAGCAAATAGAGAGCTTCTTGTAGAACTTGTTCTTAGGAAATCACAATCCTAATTGTGTAGGTCAGCTTGTTAGGAGAATCCAAGAACTTAGAGAAATCCCATTTCCAAGTTAGATTGTTGGAGTTGGGAAGTGGGAATGGGCCTTGGAAGCTCCAACCCCTTCCACAATACCCCTTGGGGCTCTTCCCAACCATGGCTTCCATGGTTGGGGAGCTAGGAGGCTTGGAGCCTAGGTGGCACATTTGTTTGGTTGGGAAAACCCAACTTAATTGTGTTGTATGGTTGTTTTGTGTTTGGTTGGATTGTAACCACAACTGGCACAATTTGATTGGTTGGGAATCCAACCTTTCCAATCTTCACTTTGATGGGTTGGAAGTTTCCAAGCCTCAAGGTTGAGGTTTGGAACAACCCAAACCAACCTTCCCCTCCAACTCAACCTCTCCGTTTCCCATCGCGTCATTTCCCATCGAGCATTCTCTCGATGTTGACTTAGGAAACTAGAGGTAGCTTGGCAGGGTAGGTCATGCGTTACATTTGCCAACTCTGAGCACAGGTGCAAGATTGATTGCAGAACGTGTCAGTTCGTGGTGATTTGCAGGGTCAACTTATGATCATCGTTCAACTTCCTTTACGCCTGTTCAAGCAACCTGCACAACTTTCATGCAGAATTCTTTTGTTGTTTCCTTTGAGATGGGAACGAAATGGTGCCCGAAATTCGGGAAATCGACATATTATTGCCACCTGTTGACCCCCAAACCCATGGTTTCCTCCACAAAACCAAATTTCGAGAGTTTACCAACAGGAATTTAATAAATTCTCATTACAGCCCATCGAGTATTTTTTCCTGCCCTACATTCCACCACAAGCACATCTGGAAGTGTGCGGTTACTCTGTTGACATGACGAATCGTACACAACCGTTCGTTGCTTCTGCGTCGCGCTGGATTCTTGGTGCGCGCCTCGATGCCGATAGGGTTCTTTTTCGGCCTCCCAACATTCTCCAGCAGTGAGGAATCCAATCCCTCCTCCGAAACCAAGGTGTGATCTCACCTCAAATCAGTCTTCACACATCCACGTTCGTACCATTTTCCACACAAGCACACCTCGTCGTTTTGAATGCAATCCAGTTACTCTCATACACGCAAATTAGAGCGTGGAAGATCCCTGTGAACAAGGCATTGGTCGCGCAGTTGCGATAGTAACACAAGTTGCGACTCTCGCCATATAGCGTCGTTAATAGAGTGACGAAAATTGCTAGAAGCACTCACATTTCAGAGCCCGTGCCCCCTTGTCGCCCCACGTTTTTGGGTCCACGAGGGGAAGACTAAGATTGGCGACGTAAGAAGAATCACGTGAACCAGTCGTGGGTGATGTGGTGCAATCCAATTTGCTCCGAGTGATTGACGAACTCAGAGCTATTCGCTTGAGAGCGACCAAGGCCCCTTCCGAAACCTTAAAACCTCTCTGATTTGCAATGTGGGGTTTCATGTGTTACCCGGAGAAAGATGTCGCAAGCCATTGACGAGGCCAGATGTTCGACCACAGGAGCAACCAAACACATGTTCGTAGGGATCTTCCACGCCCTTAGTCGATATTTGACCCGCAATTTATTCCTTGGAGACGTCTAACGGCCAACAAACAGCCAGCGATCGAAACAAGTCATAATAACTCTTGCCAATCATCATACACACACGGACACAGGACAAACGCTCACGCCATCATCATCGAGGCACTGCTCAGAGACCGAAAAAGAGACATGGTCGCGTCAACTACGTTCCAAGACCGCCCGCTGCTGCTGGCAGCGGCGCTCCTCACGTTGCTCCTTCGCATCGTGCACTGCCTGCATCCCGACGCGATGGCTCTCCTCACCTTCAAAAGCATCATGGGCGCAACTTTCCTCACGTCATGGGATCCCGCAACCTCCCACTGCTCCGCGTGGGAGGGCATTCATTGCGACCAAGACAACCGGGTGTCGTGGTTCACGCTGTCGCCGTGCTGGGGCCAGTGGCCCCCAACTCCCACGATGCAAGGCTCATTTGACGCCGCCACGAGCCTCGGGGACCTCACCGAGGTCACGCCTATCGACCTGTCGTGCAACGACTTCACTGGCAGTCTCCCCTCGATCTTCAGCAAGCTTACAAGGCTCACGCTGCTGCGCCTCCGCAACAACAACCACTGGGAATGGTCACTTCCCAAGGATATGCTCGCCATGCCGAAGCTCGAGTTTCTTGACCTTTCCAGCACGAACCTCAGAGGGGACCTGCCCACGGAGATGCCGTTCTGGTCGCCGCTACTCAAGCACCTCGACCTCTCGTACAACGTCTTGACAGGCGACATTCCTTCGGGATTTAGCCTTCTTTCGGAACTCCAGTACCTCAACCTGCGCGCGAATCGCATTGTATATACAGAAACGCCCAACGCGATTCTGTCCATGAGCCGCCTCACCTTCCTCGACATTTCCGATAATCTTTTCACCGGCGAACTGTCGTCAGAGCTCGGGCTCAAGGTGCCCAGCATTATGCACCTGGCGGCCGGCAACAACCAGCTGACCGGCAGCATTCCGGACTCTTTGACGCTGCTGACGGCGCTCACATCACAAAAAACCCGGAGTTCAACCGAGTTGGTTTTCGGGGTTCGAACCTTGTGTTTGACGAATTTTGCCTGTCCCCGATTTCCCACTGTTTTCCGTCAGAAAATTGTCGGATTTCTGTCGGAAACGTGGTAACCAGATGTTTGTTTCGCCCAACAATTCTATTTCAGGCGGATTTCAACACCGTTTCCGACGCTTCGGTTTTCTGACAGATTTCAGCTGGGCGCGTGGCTGGAGGCTGCGGGAGAAGGAGTACATCCTATTTAACATGTATTTCCTACGTCATGTACAGTTTTTGAGTAACTCTTGTAGTTTTGTAAAACTACAAATAGAAGAAAGCAAAAACGAAAATGTATTTATCCAATTTTATGCTGATGATGAATATTTAAGTCATTGTTGGTACATGTAACAACACCAGAGTTTGTTGGCATGATATTTTATATTGAATAACCCACTATAATAGAATTAACATATACTTAACTACATAAAATATTTATTCATAAAGTATACATTGACCTCAGTCTCGTCAAACGACTTCACTACATGGACATGGCATAGAATAGAAGTTATAGGGATAACGGTAAATGCGTCGGGGATGAAAGAAGATAGGCGCACGCAGCCCGTCTTTGCATGCACGCCTGCGGTCCTATAGAACTTCACGTACGCAAGATCATGACGCTCTCCTCCCTGAGTGCAATGGAACAATAGCAGCAACTGTGCATAGGCCACACTCACCCCCTCGCACCAAACAGCAATATCTGAAAACCAGGGTCTTTTGTGGCACTCAGGGGTTGCTCTCACGAAATGTGCCACCCGCGATGCGTGCGTTTCAGTTGTTGCTGGCATCGCCATTGTTGTATGGGTCTGCCAAAACGGTGAATGAAATCAAGTTAATATGAATACATCTTCTATTAGTTGATTGTAGCAAATATGGCCACAAGTGTTATATCATGGCAAAAACCATACCTGAATGGTTTGCACGGTAATGCCATATGCCGCCAAAGCGTGCGACAACGCTCTGTGTGCACTCGGGTGCTGCTGCGACCACCGAGACGCAAAGAACTTAGCAGAGGTGGGGTCACTTGCTGGCAAAACAGCAAGTGGCTCGGATTCCCTCGTCAAGACTGGTCGTCCGGTGTCCATCGCCTACGGGTGGGGTTAGAAGGGGGAAGAGGGGGAGAAGCAGGGGGGGCAGGGGGACGGAGCAAGGGGGGCAGGGGTGGCGGAGGGAGGGGCGTCACATAAAAATTGCAAATGTAAGTAACTCAGTCTAGCGCTTCTAAAGAGTTGAGTTACCTGCTGCATGATGGTGTAGCGAGCCCCGTCCTCGTCCTCCAGTGTGATAAAAGCAGCACTCTTCTCGTGATGTTTCATGATTTGCGCTTCGACGTTGCGCTTGTTCGAGCGGCGGTAAATTCTCTTCAAGAGGGGGCCATGCAAGTGCTCCCACATGTTTGTCGAGAATTCTGACACATGACCCGCCCTCCGGATAGCGTGAACATAATGCGACAGGAGATGAGTCTTGATGATGCACCACTCAGATTTTTGGGTGGGAAACGCCACTTGCAACTTCGCCACGAGACTGTCCAGAGCCAGGGTGCGGGAAAAATGGGGTGTATGATGGGACCGTACGGGAGATAATGGGCTGGATTAGGGATAGTAGCTTGGAATTGAATTGAGCAGAGGTGTGCCCCATGCATTCCTCTGCCCCTCCCTCTCTCTGCTCTGCCTCTACCCACCAGTGGCAGGTAACGGACTACGTTGATAGTATGGGTCGGGGGGTGAGGCTTGGAGAGCAGAAAGGAGACTCCAGCATTGCCTCTGCCCTCTCTCTCTCCCATCTCTGTTCAGCCACTCCTGTCAGTGGCATGGAAAGAAAGGCCAGAGAAGGGGCTCGAATGAGGGTATGGGTGGGGGGGCTGAGGCTTGGAGAGCAGGACAGAGACTCGAGCATGCCTCTGCCCTCTCTATCTCCCATCTCGGTTCAGCCACTCCTATCAGTGGCAGGGAAAGAAAGGCCAGAGAAGGGGCTGAAATGAGGGGATGGGTGGGGGTTGAGGCTTGGGGAGCAAACCAGAGACTCCTGCATGCCTTGCTCTCTCTCTCATCTCGGTTCGGTCGCTCCTGTCAGTAACAGGGAAAGAAAGACCATAGAAGGGGCTGAAATGAGGGTATGGGTGGGTGGTTGAGGCTTGGAGCGCAAAGCAGAGACTTGAGCATGCCTCTGCCCTCTCTCCCATCTCGTTTCAGTCGCTCCTGTCAGTGGCAGGGAACGAAAGTCCAGAGAAGGGGCTGAAATGAGGGGATGCGTGGAGGATGAGGCTTGGGGAGAAAAACAGAGACTCGAGCATGCCTCTGCCCTCTCTCCCATCTCGGTTCAGACCTCCTGCCAGTAACAGGGAAAGAAAGGCCCGAGAAGGGGCTGAAATGTGGGTATGGGTGGGTGGTTGAGGCTTGGAGCGCAAAACAGAGACTCGAGCATGCCTCTGCCCTCTCTCCCATCTCTGTTCAGTCACTCCTGTCAGTGGCAGAGAAAGAAAGGCCAGAGAAGGGGCTGAAATGAGGGTATGGGTGGGTGGTCGAGGCTTGGAGCGCAAAACACAGACTCGAGCATGCCTCTGCTCTTTCTCCCATCTCGGTTTAGTCACTCCTGTCAGTAACAGGGATAGAAAGGCCAGAGAAGGGGCTGAAATGAGGGTATGGGTGGGTGCTTGAGGCTTGGAGCGCAAAACACAGACTCGAGCATGCCTCTGCTCTCTCTCCCATCTCGATTTAGTCACTCCTGTCAGTAACAGGGATAGAAAGGCCAGAGAAGGGGCTGAAATGAGGGTATGGGTGGGTGGTCGAGGCTTGGAGCGCAAAAACACAGACTCGAGCAAGCCTCTGCTCTCTCTCCCATCTCGGTTTAGTCACTCTTGTCAGTAACAGGGATAGAAAGGCCAGAGAAGGGGCTGAAATGAGGGTATGGGTGGGTGGTTGAGGCATGGAGCGCAAAACAGAGACTCGATCATGCTTCTACCCTCTCTCCCATCTCTGTTCAGTCGCTCCTGTCAGTGGCAGGGAAAGATAGGCCAGAGAAGGGGCTGAAATGAGGGTATGGGTGGGTGGTCGAGGCTTGGAGCGCAAAACACAGACTCGAGCATGCCTCCGCCCCCTCTCCCTTCTCTGTCCAGTCGCTCCTGTCAGTGTCAGGGAAAGAAAGGCCATAGAAGGGGCTGAAATGAGGGTATGGGTGCGTGGTTGAAGCTTGGAGCGCAAAACAGAGGCTCGAGCATGCCTCTGCCCCCTCTCCTGTCTGGGTTCAGTGACAGGGCAAGAACGGCTAAAAGAAGGGGCTGACACGAGGGTGCAGGTGGGGGGGTGAGGCTTGGAGAGCTCAACAAAGAGTCGTGTAAACGAAAGAAGACCCTATCCGGCCCCATCCAAAACAAAGATATGGTATTAAGGTAATAAGATATGCATAAGTGGGAGAAGTTGAGGGCTCACTCGTCGGTCAATTCCTGCAAATGCCGAAGCGTGCCCTCCGTGTGACCTGGGAGCCGGGCGCAGTAAAGATACCACTCGAGGTATGCTCGAATGGCGCTCAACTGCGCATCCCCGAGCTTGTCTGCGACCACAAAAATCAACACCTGTGAATTTGGGGATTAAAAAAGGGGTATGAAAATTCTGACTTGAGAAGTCGCTATGACGGATTCATGGAGAGAGAGAACAGTAGGGTGTGGGCTGCCTCAGAAAGAGGGGCAGAGGGGGAGGATAGAGTGCTGCTCGTGCCAAGCAATGCCTCATTTACGGTTGTCACTAACCTGCAGAACAGATCGGTGCTCGAATGCGGCAACCTGGGCGTCGGACACGAAGTACGTCGAATTAGGGAGCCGCATATGTGTCATGCGGATGTCTGCTCTCAGTGATTTCAAACGCCTGAGCATGGTAGAAGAAGTAGGGATGACATACACTCCATTCATGAATTGAACGATGCTTTGCACAAGAAACCACGAATTCGCAACACAAGAGAGAGGAGATAGCAATGCCAACCTACATGAGACAGAACATAACCCACCCAAACTTACGCATCAAACAAGGGAAGCCACTTCCCCTGAGTGCAACGGATGGCGGCGACAATGTGCCCGAGGATCCCGAGATCCGCTTGATGCATGATGTCCGGCATGATGACGCGGTACGGATTTCCCCACGGTTTGTCAAAAACGTCCCATAGCCACAGGGAACACTGCACGCATAAAAGGGTTAGGGTGACTCTCATGAGGTGGAACCAGGATACCAATGAAGCAATGTAGTATTGGAGGCTAATGGCAGTGAGGTTGAGGAGTGCGGGGGGGTGCTTGGAAGGGCAGAGATGTGGGGGGGTGCTTGGAAGGGCAGAGATGTGGGGGGGTGCTTGGAAGGGCAGAGATGTGGGGGGGTGCTTGGAAGGGCAGAGATGTGGGGGGGTGCTTGGAAGGGCAGAGATGTGGGGGGGTGCTTGGAAGGGCAGAGATGTGGGGGAGTGCTTGGAAGGGCAGAGATGTGGGATAGTGCGTGGAAGGGCAGAGATGTTGGGGCTGCCATTAAAAGTGCATTCACACTTACGTCGACGTCGAACGTCGAGTACTCCATCCCGATCGGTTTTTTGTCATCGAAGGGTTTGTACCAGTTTTCCTTGATCCACTGCTGTTGCACAACAGTGCGGTTAACGTTGGGAGCTGATACGGCGCACAAGTGGTCCTGCATGTAGAATCGGATACCCACACGTATATACATGCAATACAAGTATGAGTTGAATGTGTGCGATCATAATTAGGCGTTTAGTGCAGAGAAGGACAACTCAACGACAATGTCACATACCCTGTGGGCATAGCAAATGCTGCACGGCCGGTTGGTATTGCCCGAAAGAGTGCACGTAATTTTGCAACTTTCTGGAAAGTCACACACCCATGCGTACAGCATGGGTATGACGAGATGCTCGACGCCATTCGGGTCCTTCATCTTGAAACCACTGCAATGCATTGGAAAAAAGACAGGATGGGTTTTGGGGGACAAGGCTTGGTAGAACGAATCATATAGAGGGGTGGTTATACTTCTATACGGAAACGCTTTCCTTTGAGATGGCACTGATTATATGTCACATGCGCAGATTGCGGTGGAAGCGCGCATGAGAACTGGACATCAAAGCAAAGTTAATATAGGGCAAGTGTGATTAAAACCTTTTCAACCCCTCGAGGATGGGCTGCAGCATGAGCTCCACGGCTTTGTGAAATAATTCGGTGCTCTGAGCCGAGCTCATGCCGGCCGGTGGTATCGGGAGATTCCCCAAAAGCACGTGGCCAGAAGATGCCCAACGTTTCCCCTGGGAGATGTTGACAAGACTCATCATCACCGGATGTGCCTTTTTCCTGCCGTTGTTGCTGAGGTGTGTGACGTCACTATACAGGATAATCCCAGCGATGACTATGTCTGGCCCAACATGGGCCTGAGGTTCAAGGTAAACAATACCACAGACAGGGACATAGCATAACATAACACAAATGGAGGGGGGTATGTGAACAAGATTAGAGCATACGGGAGCATGAGTGTGCATCTCACTCCACTCCCCTTCTCTGTCCGCCCAGGGTTCCTGTGTGTGGGAGGGAGGATCAGGCAGAGGGAGGCAAGAATAAGGGGCAGAGAGAGAGAATGAAGCTACAAGGTGCATGCTTGAGCTCCTCACTCCCCCCCACTCCTCTGTCTGCCCTCCTCTGTCCCTCTCCTGTGTGTGGGTGGGAGGGACAGGCAGAGGGAGGCAAGGATAAGGGGCAGAGAGAGAAAATGAGGCAACAAGGTGCATGCTTGAGCTCCTCACTCCCCTTCGCTCCTCTGCCCGCCCTCCTCTGTCCCTCTCCTGTGTGTGGGTGGGAGGGACAGGTAGAGGGAGGCAAGGATAAGGGGCAGATAGAGAAAATGAAGCAACAAGGTGCATGCTTGAGCTCCTCACTCCCCTTCGCTCCTCTGCCCGCCCTCCTCTGTCCCTCTCCTGTGTGTGGGTGGGAGGGACAGGTAGAGGGAGGCAAGGATAAGGGGCAGAGAGAGAAAATGAGGCAACAAGGTGCATGCTTGAGCTCCTCACTCCCCTCCGCTCCTCTGTCCGCCCTCCTCTGTCCCTCTCCTGTGTGTGGGTGGGAGGGACTGGTAGAGGGAGGCAAGGATAAGGGGCAGAGAGAGAAAATGAAGCAACAAGGTGCATGCTTGAGCTCCTAACTCCGGACGGTTCCTCTGTCCGCCCTCCTCTGTCCCTCTCCTGTGTGTGGGTGGGAGGGACAGGCAGAGGGAGGCAAGGATAAGGGGCAGAGAGAGAAAGTGAGGCAACAAGGTGCATGCTTGAGCTCCTCACTCCCCTCCGCTCCTCTGTCCGCCCTCCTCTGTCCCTCTCCTGTGTGTGGGTGGGAGGGACAGGCAGAGGGAGGCAAGGATAAGGGGCAGAGAGAGAAAATGAGGCAACAAGGTGCATGCTTGAGCTCCTCACTCCCCTTCGCTCCTCTGCCCGCCCTCCTCTGTCCCTCTCCTGTGTGTGGGTGGGAGGGACAGGTAGAGGGAGGCAAGGATAAGGGGCAGATAGAGAAAATGAAGCAACAAGGTGCATGCTTGAGCTCCTCACTCCCCTTCGCTCCTCTGCCCGCCCTCCTCTGTCCCTCTCCTGTGTGTGGGTGGGAGGGACAGGTAGAGGGAGGCAAGGATAAGGGGCAGAGAGAGAAAATGAGGCAACAAGGTGCATGCTTGAGCTCCTCACTCCCCTCCGCTCCTCTGTCCGCCCTCCTCTGTCCCTCTCCTGTGTGTGGGTGGGAGGGACTGGTAGAGGGAGGCAAGGATAAGGGGCAGAGAGAGAAAATGAAGCAACAAGGTGCATGCTTGAGCTCCTAACTCCGGACGGTTCCTCTGTCCGCCCTCCTCTGTCCCTCTCCTGTGTGTGGGTGGGAGGGACAGGCAGAGGGAGGCAAGGATAAGGGGCAGAGAGAGAAAGTGAGGCAACAAGGTGCATGCTTGAGCTCCTCACTCCCCTCCGCTCCTCTGTCCGCCCTCCTCTGTCCCTCTCCTGTGTGTGGGTGGGAGGGACAGGCAGAGGGAGGCAAGGATAAGGGGCAGAGAGAGAAAATGAGGCAACAAGGTGCATGCTTGAGCTCCTCACTCCCCTTCGCTCCTCTGCCCGCCCTCCTCTGTCCCTCTCCTGTGTGTGGGTGGGAGGGACAGGCAGAGGGAGGCAAGGATAAGGGGCAGAGAGAGAAAATGAGGCAACAAGGTGCATGCTTGAGCTCCTCACTCCCCCCCGCTCCTCTGCCCGCCCTCCTCTGTCCCTCTCCTGTGTGTGGGTGGGAGGGACAGGTAGAGGGAGGCAAGGATAAGGGGCAGATAGAGAAAATGAAGCAACAAGGTGCATGCTTGAGCTCCTAACTCTGGACGGTTCCTCTGTCCGCCCTCCTCTGTCCCTCTCCTGTGTGTGGGTGGGAGGGACAGGTAGAGGGAGGCAAGGATTAGGGGCAGAGAGAGAAAATGAGGCAACAAGGTGCATGCTTGAGCTCCTCACTCCCCCTCGCTCCTCTGCCCGCCCTCCTCTGTCCCTCTCCTGTGTGTGGGTGGGAGGGACAGGTAGAGGGAGGCAAGGATAAGGGGCAGAGAGAGAAAATGAAGCAACAAGGTGCATGCTTGAGCTCCTCACTCCCCTTCGCTCCTCTGCCCGCCCTCCTCTGTCCCTCTCCTGTGTGTGGGTGGGAGGGACAGGCAGAGGGAGGCAAGGATAAGGGGCAGAGAGATAAAATGAGGCAACAAGGTGCATGCTTGAGCTCCTCACTCCCCCCCGCTCCTCTGTCTGCCCTCCTCTGTCCCTCTCCTGTGTGTGGGTGGGAGGGACAGGCAGAGGGAGGCAAGGATAAGGGGCAGAGAGAGAAAATGAGGCAACAAGGTGCATGCTTGAGCTCCTCACTCCCCTTCGCTCCTCTGCCCGCCCTCCTCTGTCCCTCTCCTGTGTGTGGGTGGGAGGGACAGGTAGAGGGAGGCAAGGATAAGGGGCAGATAGAGAAAATGAAGCAACAAGGTGCATGCTTGAGCTCCTCACTCCCCTTAGCTCCTCTACCCGCCCTCCTCTGTCCCTCTCCTGTGTGTGGGTGGGAGGGACTGGTAGAGGGAGGCAAGGATAAGGGGCAGAGAGAGAAAATGAAGCAACAAGGTGCATGCTTGAGCTCCTAACTCCGGACGGTTCCTCTGTCCGCCCTCCTCTGTCCCTCTCCTGTGTGTGGGTGGGAGGGACAGGCAGAGGGAGGCAAGGATAAGGGGCAGAGAGAGAAAGTGAGGCAACAAGGTGCATGCTTGAGCTCCTCACTCCCCTCCGCTCCTCTGTCCGCCCTCCTCTGTCCCTCTCCTGTGTGTGGGTGGGAGGGACAGGCAGAGGGAGGCAAGGATAAGGGGCAGAGAGAGAAAATGAGGCAACAAGGTGCATGCTTGAGCTCCTCACTCCCCTTCGCTCCTCTGCCCGCCCTCCTCTGTCCCTCTCCTGTGTGTGGGTGGGAGGGACAGGCAGAGGGAGGCAAGGATAAGGGGCAGAGAGAGAAAATGAGGCAACAAGGTGCATGCTTGAGCTCCTCACTCCCCCCCGCTCCTCTGCCCGCCCTCCTCTGTCCCTCTCCTGTGTGTGGGTGGGAGGGACAGGTAGAGGGAGGCAAGGATAAGGGGCAGATAGAGAAAATGAAGCAACAAGGTGCATGCTTGAGCTCCTAACTCTGGACGGTTCCTCTGTCCGCCCTCCTCTGTCCCTCTCCTGTGTGTGGGTGGGAGGGACAGGTAGAGGGAGGCAAGGATTAGGGGCAGAGAGAGAAAATGAGGCAACAAGGTGCATGCTTGAGCTCCTCACTCCCCCTCGCTCCTCTGCCCGCCCTCCTCTGTCCCTCTCCTGTGTGTGGGTGGGAGGGACAGGTAGAGGGAGGCAAGGATAAGGGGCAGAGAGAGAAAATGAAGCAACAAGGTGCATGCTTGAGCTCCTCACTCCCCTTCGCTCCTCTGCCCGCCCTCCTCTGTCCCTCTCCTGTGTGTGGGTGGGAGGGACAGGCAGAGGGAGGCAAGGATAAGGGGCAGAGAGATAAAATGAGGCAACAAGGTGCATGCTTGAGCTCCTCACTCCCCCCCGCTCCTCTGTCTGCCCTCCTCTGTCCCTCTCCTGTGTGTGGGTGGGAGGGACAGGCAGAGGGAGGCAAGGATAAGGGGCAGAGAGAGAAAATGAGGCAACAAGGTGCATGCTTGAGCTCCTCACTCCCCTTCGCTCCTCTGCCCGCCCTCCTCTGTCCCTCTCCTGTGTGTGGGTGGGAGGGACAGGTAGAGGGAGGCAAGGATAAGGGGCAGATAGAGAAAATGAAGCAACAAGGTGCATGCTTGAGCTCCTCACTCCCCTTAGCTCCTCTACCCGCCCTCCTCTGTCCCTCTCCTGTGTGTGGGTGGGAGGGACTGGTAGAGGGAGGCAAGGATAAGGGGCAGAGAGAGAAAATGAAGCAACAAGGTGCATGCTTGAGCTCCTAACTCCGGACGGTTCCTCTGTCCGCCCTCCTCTGTCCCTCTCCTGTGTGTGGGTGGGAGGGACAGGCAGAGGGAGGCAAGGATAAGGGGCAGAGAGAGAAAGTGAGGCAACAAGGTGCATGCTTGAGCTCCTCACTCCCCTCCGCTCCTCTGTCCGCCCTCCTCTGTCCCTCTCCTGTGTGTGGGTGGGAGGGACAGGCAGAGGGAGGCAAGGATAAGGGGCAGAGAGAGAAAATGAGGCAACAAGGTGCATGCTTGAGCTCCTCACTCCCCTCCGCTCCTCTGTCCGCCCTCCTCTGTCCCTCTCCTGTGTGTGGGTGGGAGGGACAGGTAGAGGGAGGCAAGGATAAGGGGCAGAGAGAGAAAATGAGGCAACAAGGTGCATGCTTGAGCTCCTCACTCCCCTTCGCTCCTCTGCCCGCCCTCCTCTGTCCCTCTCCTGTGTGTGGGTGGGAGGGACAGGTAGAGGGAGGCAAGGATAAGGGGCAGAGAGAGAAAATGAAGCAACAAGGTGCATGCTTGAGCTCCTAACTCCGGACGGTTCCTCTGTGCGCCCTCCTCTGTCCCTCTCCTGTGTGTGGGTGGGAGGGACAGGCAGAGGGAGGCAAGGATAAGGGGCAGAGAGAGAAAGTGAGGCAACAAGGTGCATGCTTGAGCTCCTCACTCCCCTCCGCTCCTCTGTCCGCCCTCCTCTGTCCCTCTCCTGTGTGTGGGTGGGAGGGACAGGCAGAGGGAGGCAAGGATAAGGGGCAGAGAGAGAAAATGAAGCAACAAGGTGCATGCTTGAGCTCCTAACTCCGGACGGTTCCTCTGTCCGCCCTCCTCTGTCCCTCTCCTGTGTGTGGGTGGGAGGGACAGGCAGAGGGAGGCAAGGATAAGGGGCAGAGAGAGAAAGTGAGGCAACAAGGTGCATGCTTGAGCTCCTCACTCCCCTCCGCTCCTCTGTCCGCCCTCCTCTGTCCCTCTCCTGTGTGTGGGTGGGAGGGACTGGTAGAGGGAGGCAAGGATAAGGGGCAGAGAGAGAAAATGAAGCAACAAGGTGCATGCTTGAGCTCCTCACTCCCCTTCGCTCCTCTGCCCGCCCTCCTCTGTCCCTCTCCTGTGTGTGGGTGGGAGGGACAGGTAGAGGGAGGCAAGGATAAGGGGCAGAGAGAGAAAATGAAGCAACAAGGTGCATGCTTGAGCTCCTAACTCCGGACGGTTCCTCTGTCCGCCCTCCTCTGTCCCTCTCCTGTGTGTGGGTGGGAGGGACAGGCAGAGGGAGGCAAGGATAAGGGGCAGAGAGAGAAAGTGAGGCAACAAGGTGCATGCTTGAGCTCCTCACTCCCCTCCGCTCCTCTGTCCGCCCTCCTCTGTCCCTCTCCTGTGTGTGGGTGGGAGGGACAGGCAGAGGGAGGCAAGGATAAGGGGCAGGGAGAGAAAATGAAGCAACAAGGTGCATGCTTGAGCTCCTAACTCCGGACGGTTCCTCTGTCCGCCCTCCTCTGTCCCTCTCCTGTGTGTGGGTGGGAGGGACAGGCAGAGGGAGGCAAGGATAAGGGGCAGAGAGAGAAAGTGAGGCAACAAGGTGCATGCTTGAGCTCCTCACTCCCCTCCGCTCCTCTGTCCGCCCTCCTCTGTCCCTCTCCTGTGTGTGGGTGGGAGGGACAGGCAGAGGGAGGCAAGGATAAGGGGCAGAGAGAGAAAATGAGGCAACAAGGTGCATGCTTGAGCTCCTCACTCCCCTCCGCTCCTCTGTCCGCCCTCCTCTGTCCCTCTCCTGTGTGTGGGTGGGAGGGACAGGTAGAGGGAGGCAAGGATAAGGGGCAGAGAGAGAAAATGAGGCAACAAGGTGCATGCTTGAGCTCCTCACTCCCCTTCGCTCCTCTGCCCGCCCTCCTCTGTCCCTCTCCTGTGTGTGGGTGGGAGGGACAGGTAGAGGGAGGCAAGGATAAGGGGCAGAGAGAGAAAATGAGGCAACAAGGTGCATGCTTGAGCTCCTCACTCCCCTTCGCTCCTCTGCCCGCCCTCCTCTGTCCCTCTCCTGTGTGTGGGTGGGAGGGACAGGTAGAGGGAGGCAAGGATTAGGGGCAGAGAGAGAAAATGAGGCAACAAGGTGCATGCTTGAGCTCCTCACTCCCCTTCGCTCCTCTGCCCGCCCTCCTCTGTCCCTCTCCTGTGTGTGGGTGGGAGGGACAGGTAGAGGGAGGCAAGGATAAGGGGCAGAGAGAGAACATGAAGCAACAAGGTGCATGCTCGAACTCCACACAACCCTCCTCTCCCATCTCCGCAGCCTCTAACCATCTCATGGCAGTGTGTGAGAGGGCCGGGCAGTGCGAGTCTGTGAACTGTTGGAATATGTTTTGTGCAGCGAAGATAGCATTTAAAGACGTGGCAAAAAGCAGCATTTGTACTACTCATTCTCCCTCTCACCTGGGCCTCATGCCACCAGGTCGCTGTCTCCGATGTGGTGTAGCGTCTCTGACGGGTCTTCGGGTCAGTGTCTACCCGTGGCTTGAGAACGAACCCAGGCGCATTCCGCGGATCGCCAAACAGGTCTGCCAGAGCCTGGACGAGACAATCACGACGCGATTATGATGAGCTAAAATAATACGTGCAGCGAAATAAAGGTCGTATCAACAAACTGCATAGGAAATAACTCACACAGCACGTACTTGTATTGAGTTACGGAAGAACAGCGTCTGCGCCCGGAAGCCCGCAACCTTGAATGTTACAGTCGAGTACCCACGGCCTGGACCACGCAGTTGGTCCAACTCGAAGCGCTCGAGCTCTCGGCAGTTGGTGTACTCCTCGAGCACTCTCTGTGCAAGTTCCGGAACCATTAGAAGTTGCAGCAGTGCGTTGATGTCCGTCTCTGCCAAACCAAGCCGTCCGTTGGCTTTCCGCACAAAGTGGAGGAAATGAAGCGCAGCGGGATTGCTCGGTGGTGGACGCCCGAAGCTTGTTGGTACGGAGGGAGCAGCGGTATTTCTGCCGCTGTTGTTACTCTGATGCGAATTCGCTGTGTCCGCATCGGTGACTGCCTCGGGCATTTCATTTCCGGGTGTAGAATATGAGGAATTGCTGCCGGAATGCTCACCGTCTTCCTGTGACTGTACGTTGTCGCCATGTACGTCATGGGCCGAAACATGGGCCGTATTCTCAGCATCGGGAACAGGTGTTGTGAAAAGGACAATGTGCTCTTGTAGTGAAGGTCCGCCCTGACGCAGTGCTGCATATTTGACACGGCATACAGGGTCCCATGCCTTGTGCCGCCCGAAACACTGGGCACTTCGAAATCTCCCCTTGCAAAAGACGCACAGTAACTGTTTGTTGATGTTCATGCTATGACGAGCTGTAATATGAAGAGTCCCGAGAGTGGCCGCATTGTACAAGTGCTCTTTAGTAGCGGCTAGGCCTGAGAGGTCGACCTGCGAAGGGCGTGAAAGGTGACTCCGTATAGGGGTATCGCGGCAGCGACCAGAGGACCAGGTTCCTATGCGACACACCTCGAAGTAAGTTCTACATGTTGATGCTACACAGAGAGCTGTGACTAAACTTAGACATACGATTGTTGAGTGGGAAGTATAACTACTCCGCATTCTGTCTAGCCTATGGCCCTGCGTATGATCATGATTTACTCGCCGCGCACCGCGCCGTGATGTAGGGGTGAATTGGCGAGCAGCGCGGCCCCGTCGCGAGCCAAGGTGCTACCTACACTTGCAATACGTACTGCACGAGGCGTTTTAACGTGGTGGGTAATGGCAGGCACAGTATTGAGCCGCGTGCGGCTGCTGTGACGGATGGGTTCATGGAAGGACAGCGGGAACGGGACGATGTTCCATACCACGCTTAGAGCTTAGAGAATGGCGGACCTTGCGCTTGTCTATCCCCCCAGAGGTTCTGGTGAGAATTCCTCCGCAGTCTAGAGAAAACCGAGCAAAAGTTAGAACAAGCTAAATCGCCAAATGAGACTGTCAGGCTCAAGCCTCACCCTAAAGCAAGAGACTTGTGCGTGATTATCACGTCAGGCAGCGGAAGGCGCACGTAGCTGTGATTGTAAGGCGAAGCGACTCGGGAAGGATCACAGCACGGAGTAAGCGTGCTCTGGCCGACTGTGTTTGCTGTGTGGTGCGGCTATTTGAATTCTGAATTCGAAGTTTGAAATGACGGGAGGGGATGTGTGCACTGCCCACACGAGCAACTCGCGGTTCGCGATATGGGCGAAATTGTTATACTGTTGCTGACATTACTGAAACAATCAAATCTACAATATCAGAATCAAAAACCAAGGGCCCTAGGAATCAGAGCATAATCTCTAGGAAGCTGGTGTCGAGAAACAACCCAATCACTAGCAGAGCTTTCTGACGAGGTTCGGATTGTGGCGAGGATTGAAATCCAAAACCCGGCAACTCTACATCAGATTCAAGCTACTCTCACATAGCACGGCATGATAAACATATCTAGCCTTCATGGAATGAGCTGAGAATGATAGGAGGGTCTCAAACTGGTGTCAAGAGACTACCCTACCACTTGCTGAGCTTTCTGACAAGGTTTGGTTGGTGGCGAGGACTGAAATCCAATACCCGGCAAATCTGCATCAGATTTGGGCTTCCCTTACATATCATGGCATGATGAACCTATCTAGCCTTCATGGAGTGAGCTGAGAATTATAGGGGGGTCTCAAACTGGTGTCAAGAGACTACCGTATCACTTGCAGAGCTTTCTGACAAGGTTTGGTTGGCAGCGAGGACTGAAATCCAATACGCGGCAACTCTGCATCAGATTTGGGCTTCCGTTAAATATCATGGCATGATGAACCTATCTAGCCTTCATAGACTGGGCTGAGAATGATAGGGGGGTCTCAAACTGGTGTCAGGGTGGCAGACAAGGTTTGGTTTGTGGTCAGGACATGGCAATGGTGGTCAGAGTTGTTGGGCTGAGGTGCCCTAGGATCTTTGTAGAGTTAAAGTTTGTGTAGGATTGTAATAGCGGAAGCGTTTGAATAAAGCACTTGAACCACCTTGCGCAAGTATGTGAGGGCAACGTAAGTTGACTAAAACAGGCAGATACAAGACTTTATATTAGATTACAAGGAATACGAATAGATATAATTAAGCTACCTTGCTGTTGCGATTCGGTACAGTGCGTCTCGGGCAACTGCTCAATGTCGAGTCAGTTGTGTGTCCTTGCTGTCGCGCTGTATTGGTCAAGTCAAAAGTCGCTGACCTTTGACCTTCGCGTAACCTCCAGGTGGTTACTTTAACCTCCGAGGGTTGACTCGCGATGCTTCGATTTGGACTGCTTCGCTTCGGGTTTCTTGAGGTAGGTAGCGAGTTGGCTTGCGGAGTAGGATAGATCCGGGCGACAAGTGACGGCTGCGAAGAGGAGGCAGCCCAGTTTCCTCTGGTAGTCTCGTATTCCGGCAGCTTTGAGTGGAGCGGAATTTCCTTTGTCACTTCCTGCCGTGTAGCGGTATGGCGTGGCGATAGCGGTAGGTGTGAGCGAAAAACGCTTGGCGTTCGTGTCGGCGTATTTCTCGGCGCTTAGATAGATCGCATTTTCTTCTTCGCAGATGTACTGCCCGAGGTACTGCGTGACGGTGGAAGAGACCGTGAGCGTGAGATCCTTCTGCAACTCCCCTTCGAACCAGGTGGTGACGTTGTCGGTGGAGCCGATGTAGAGGAGATCGTCGACGTAGACGATAAGTAGGATGTAGTTGGCGCCTTTAGTGAGTTGGTACATGCCTTGGTCGTGAGGCAGTTAACAGTTTGCGCATGCTTGACTGCAGAGTCCTGTTCATACGTTCTGCAACGCCTTGCTGGTGATGTGCGTAGGGAAGGGAGAGGAGTTGCTTGATTCCCCTTTCCGCCAGGTAATGCTTGAAGCGCTGAGAGGTGTACTCTCCTCCTCCGTCTGACTGGAAGCTTTTCAGTTGTGTTCCTGATTCCCTCTCTGCTACCGGTAGCCAAGCGGCGAACGCTGCGAGAGCCATGTCGCGGCTGGGTAGGTTTCGATGCCAGACGTATCGGGTGGCTGCTGCCGATGTTGTCTCTGCTCCTGACGATGTTGTCTCTGCTGCTGCCGATGTTGTCTCTGCTGCTGCCGATTGTCGAATTGTTGCTAACGCTCGTGTTTGTTCTGCTTCAGGAATGGTGTGTGAGTACCAAAAACCTCCCGGGCTGAAGTCGGGATCGAGATCCGGGGGATGTGTCCAATCGGCGAAGTTGACGATGGCGTCGCTATCGGCAGTGGCCAGGTCGGGGACGAAATCGAGGACGAAGACGTTGTTCTTCAACACCGCCTTTCCGATGTAGAGGCCGCCCTTCCCGTGGTACAACTTAAACTCCTGGGTGGTGCTGTCGGCTTCCAAGTGAATACCTTTCGCCATCAACTGGCTGACACTCAGTAAGTTATAGCCGAGTCCCTCGGCGATAAGTACCTTTGACATGTGTAATATGGCATTTGTCTCTCGTGACTGAAGCTGTACCACTCCTTGTCGTCGTGTGCGCAGGTTCTGATTGTCGGCGACCGTGATGACTACTTCTCGCTGGAGTCGATGCTCGCGTTGAACGAAGCGCCCGGAGGAGCACATATGTTGTCCGCAGCAACTGTCCAAGAACCAAGTGTCCTGGCCGGACGGTTCGCTTTGAGCAATGGCGGCGTACGTTGGGTTCGGTTGAAGAGATTCGCGGCGAGGCGTTCTGTTGTCAAGTTGTTCTTCGGGTGAGTAGTGTGGTGGTGACTCGGTTGTGCAGGAGTCATTTATCTTGACCATGTAGTTGACAATATTTATTGCTCCTTGTGCAGGTTGTCCACTTGAAGCCGTTGAAGCTTGGATTGCGGTCGTCGGATTTGCTTGCGTTGAAGCAACTTGGGAGCTTGAAGGCCGGAGTTGTCGCTGTGGTGTCGTCGACTGCTGACGAGACGGGCAGTGCGTGCGAGTATGACGCAAAGTCTTGCAGATATGGCAAAAAGGAGGTACGGGTTTCGGTTGTTGTTGTCGATTGTTGCCGTTGTTGTAACGTCGCTGAGTGTGAAACGCAAACTCCGGTGCTAATGTTTTCTTCTTGTGTCTTTCTTCTAGCAGGTCCATGTCCTGCTGCTCGGCGTGGATTTTGGTGCAGAGTGCCGCTTCGGATATCCTCCCGTGTGCTCGTAATATGGCGCGAGTGGAGCGCCAGTGGGGCCGAGACCGCCGATGACCACCTTGACAAAGGCGTCTTCTGAAATTGACCCTCCGCATCGAAGAAGCTTGTCGCGCAGTTCGCGGCAGCGGCTGATATAAGCCATGCCTTTCTCGCCTGGT